TCCTGATACTTTTGTTTAACTAAATCGTGTTTAATTTATGTGCAATCTTTATAATATACATCTGTAGTCCCCGTTTCAACTATCATAGTTTCTTTTATTACATCTGTAATTTGATCTTGCTCTGATTATAATGCCAGTGAATGTTGCTGAATTCTTTGTATATGCAAATTGCAAGATCTAAAACAGTCTGATGCAAGGATAAATCTTTACTTTGACTTCCAGCCTGCGTCTCGTTCTTCCGTGAAATCTCTTCGTTGTATTCCTGTGCCTTACGTCCTTTTAGACAAGACATTCATTAGGAGGTAGACATTGATTCATGTAGACCATAATTTAAGACTTCTAAAATGTAGCTCCGCCCTGGCTTGGAAACAGCCCCGACCGTGGGCACAGTGGCCGGCCGGGGGGTGGCCCCAGCTCCCCGCTGCTCCTCAGTAGGCGTGAGCTGTGCGTGCAGCACTAACAACTCGCCCTTCTGGGAGCCCGTGCTCCTCCTGGAGTCCAGACAGCGATCTGAGCTCTGAGCGGTGGTTTCTTGGAGTCCCCAAGGAAGATGACGGACCGCGTCTGCGGCCAGGCAGAGTCACAAAGTCCTTCCGACACTGATTTCCCTCCTAAAATCGGAAACCCCGTCAGGCCTCCCTTCGCACATCTGCGTGTCTCTGCTCACCCCCCAACTCTGCCTCCGTGCTCCTTCCACCTCCACCCCCCTTTCCGGACCCACCCGCGAGGTATTTCAGGCCTCACGTGGAGTGTAAACACACGCTTGTTATTAGTGGTTGTATTTATTTACTACATTTTATGAGGCTTGTTGTATTTGTTAAAATGGATGATTTCGTAAAATGGATGATTCCTCTCCCCTCCTCCCTCTGAAAAATGTCACCTGCTGTGAAATGCCACATGCTCGTATGGGTTGCTTAATTACTGGCGGTTCCTTATGGGTCTGTCTGTCTGTCTGCATGCCCCTTAGCAGTGCTAAGTACAGCAGGACCCTTCCACTGGGGAGAGGGGAACCGCAGAAGGGAGAGAGCAGACAGGGGAGGAGGGATGGAAGAAAGGAGGTTTGGGGGAGGGTGGGGGGTTCAAAGAGGGGCATCAACCAGCCAACCAGGGACCAGGTGGCTCAGCCAACCTTCCGGAGCCCACAGCCTCAGGAAGGGAAGACGCGCCAGGCCTGCCGTAGAGGAACCCCCCCCCCCAGTCAAATGGAAATATTTCCAACAAGACACCAGGTGCGAGCGACCTCGGACAGACAGACAGGTTGAACGACCACCGAGGCAGGTTAGCACCTCCCTGGGACTGAATGGTGTGGGTCAGGGATGCACCTGTTAGCAGCGGAGGGCTCAGCGGTGAGCTACATCTGAATGTTAGAGACATTAATACATGGAAACTTGGCGTCTTTGCCGTGACGACATATATGCCACCAGCGTGCCGTTGTGTGAATTGCCTGTTTGCCCGAAGGTCTGTCTCAGCATCCGGGCGAGTCGGCACTTGAACTCCTTCCTCGTCCGGTCTCCGAGGGCTGCTTGGCCCTCTCCAAACCTAACGAGCTCTGGTGGCCGTTCCTCCACGGTGGGCATCGGCTCACGGCGTCCCCGCGTCATTTTCCGAGGAAAATGCTTGCACACGTGTGCGTTTCAGCTGCAAAGCGCTTCTCCGGGAGAGCTTCCTGGAAGTGGAGCTTCTGGGGCGAAGGGCAAATGCATGTGCAATAGAAATAGGAATTGCCAATTTGCCACCGCCCAGAAGTGCCCCAGCGCATCACCGCCCACGGTGCGGGGGGTGCCCGTTTCCTGACACACCACTATCCCTGGGTGTTGGCAGATCCCTTTCATTTGTGCAAAACTGAGAGGCCAAAAAAAAAAAAAAAAAAAACATACGTCATCTCAATTTGCATCTCCCTAACTTCTAGTGGGTTGAGCATCTCTTCACGCTTTTAGTATTTGTATTTCATCTGCGAATCACCAATTCATATTTTTTATCCATTTTCCAAGTTGTGTCATTTGGCTTTTCCTCATTGGTTTATTTCCTCAATCTATTGTTGATTCCTCGGTGATTCTTTTTATAGCACGGACACTAACCCTTTGTTATTCTTACTACGAATATTTCCCTTCCATGCTTGATAAAATATTGTCAGTGCTGGCTGTTAAAGCCCCTTGTCCAGGAAGCTTTGGGGCTCACCAGCTTCTAGATTGGGTTGATGAGCACAAGGCGGGGCTGCCCAGGCCCTCTGTGGCTCTTGCATGGCGATACCCAATAAACGGATCAAATCGAGCCTTCATTCCTGGGACACAGGACTGTAGACACAAGGAGGAGCTTCATGGGAACAAGTCACGGGCATCTTGTTCCTTTGTAAACAGCAACATTCATGCAATCCCAATTTACAGATTGTTGAATGCTCTGTGCCAGCGTGGCCCTCCATGCTGGTGGCACTAAGAGGGGGAAGGCTGGGACCATGTCCTGGAGGCACGTCAGGGGCCTGGGCCATCTGCATAGCACTGGAATCGGGGTCCCGGGAACTGCGGCTGGAATACCAGATCTGTTTCCTAGAAGATGACTCCAGCAGCTCATCTAGAGGAAGCTTCTAGAAAGCCCAGCAAAACCTGGGATCCCAGCCACATATCTTAAGTCATTTTTAGTGAAGAGGTAGAATTTATGGAGTTGACATTTGCGAAGGAGTCTTTCCACGACAACCCCGGATGCCTGGGCCAGGTGAGGGGCCAGGCAGTGACGGCCTAGATTCCGTCCTGATTTGTGTGTAGGATTGAGGGAGGCCTTCCCTCCTTTCCTTCCTCAGCCCCTCCACGTGGTGATAGATTCCAGACACACCCAGACACCTGACTTTACCTCCCGACAGAAAACCTCCTCCCGGGGACAATCCCACTCACCCCTGGCCCCTACCTCCAAGACCGGCCCACACATTCTCTCCCAGGATCCAGGACCTATTTGGGCAGCCAGATAAGAGACTGAGCAACCTCAGCCTTCCTGGCCATCTCTGGTGGCCCTGGGTCAAGTCCTTGTCCCTGGACACAACTCGTGCCCAGACTGAGCAGATAGATGACTAGGGTTTCCAGGAGTCCCCTCCCCCTACACGTGCGGGCTGCTCCTAGAGTTCACGTGATGGCTCACGGGCCAGGAAGAAAGCGGTCCCTTCACGACAGAGCTGTAGAGATGGAGACAGTCTGGAAGAGCAGGCCTTCTGACTCAGCCCTGGTCCGCTGCTCCCCCCTCTTGGCTCCTGAGTTTGCTTGTTTTTTTCTTCCTTTTTCCTTTCCTCCCTTTAATAAGAATCCCCTGGGTTTTAAAATTTCATTTCAAGGACACCCGGCTGGGTACCCCCTCTGCCTGGGGTCACTACTGACACGCGGCGATGGTGAATACCCGGGCTGCCCTTCACGGAAGGCCACAGCTTAGTCCTAGGACAGGAGGCCGGCTCTCAGTCAATGTTCCAGTTTCCACAGAACGGCGTGCCACAAGTTAGCACAGGATGACTCCAGAGCAAGAAACGGGGACCCAACCCGGCCTGGGAAAGGGGGTGACCCAGGCTTCTTTGAGGGAGCCTCACCACAGCTGAGCTCAGGACTGGAGGAAATCGTTTGTGAGGCAGGAAGGAGGTGGGGACAGGTGGTGTACGTGTGTGTGTGTGTGTGTGTGCACATGCACGTGTAGCATATGGTTGTAGGAGTGTGTATAGGAGGGTGTATGTGTGGAAGGGTCTTGCCTAAGGAAGTCAAAAGCTGGCTGGTACAAAACTCGAGTAAAGGAGGTCAAAGAGCGGCGTACCTGGGAGGTTCAGTCGGTTAAGCGTCCGACTTTTTTTTTTATTATTGTGTATTTATTTTGAAAGAGAGACAGCAGGGGTGGGGCAGAGAGAGAGACCCAGAATCTGAAGCAGCTGAAGTCAGATGCCTGACTGAGCCACCCAGGTGCCCCAAGCACCTGATGGATTTCAGCTCAGGTCATATCTCAGTTCGTGAGCTCAAGCCTCCCACCGGGCTCCACGCTGACAGTGTGGAGTCTGCTTGAGATTCTCTCCCCCCACCCCCTGCCCAGCCCTCCTCTGCCTGTGCTCTCTCTATCTCTCAAAATAAATTTAAAAACCTAAAAGAAAGGCAAAGAGAGATTGGCAGGCAGATCACGCAGAAGCTTGGAGGCAAGGAAAAAAAAAAAAGTAAAAGTAGTTTCTGTTCATTGAGAACTTTCTGTCAGATGGATGTTACTCATTTGGAATCCGAGGCCCAGAGAAGTTACCAAACCACACAGCCAGTAGGTATTTATTTCTTGCAACCCTGTGTTCAAACAGAGTTGGCCTAGCTGGTTAATGTCTGTCTGATGCTTAAAAGCTAAGCGAAACCTGTGTCCTGCGGACATGTTTAATCAAACACTTGTTTGAATGAGCTTTTCTAACGCAGCATTTACGGTAAAATGAAAACCACCCTTACTGTGCTCTTAAAATACTGTACCCTTACGAAGGTGAGGAAATCTGATATATTGCAGTGAGATTTTTGGTTAGAATTGAACCCTAAAGGGGTTTTTAATTAACCAGTATATTCCATTCCCCAGGCATATGGCTAATTGAAATTTTTCTACGTGCGAGGTTCATAATTACTACGAAATCTGAAGTGTCGGCAGAACAACTTAATCATAGGAAAATCCTACTATTTTACATTTCCTTGTGTTTCGTTACCTAAATGACACATTTATGACTCGCACCTTCAAAGAAAAGTGCCTTTTCTAAAAAAAAAAAAAAAAAAAAAGCTGCCCTTCCTAAACTACTCTCCCTTCTTCTGCTCCCCGAGATCCCACCCCTTTCTGGCCCAGTTCAACCATCACCTGCTCTGTGGACTCTTGGATGTCCCCCCCACCCCCGCTCCCACCTACCGCCCTCCCCAGGCTGTCACTCTTCCGTGTGATTTTAGACAACACTGTTCAGAGTGTTCTTACGGCAGCCACAACGGCAAAGGCAACTCGCAGTGACCCAGAGACACGCCTAGATTCATGCATTCATTCAGCAAACATTTTTTATTATGTGAACCTGGCTCCACGCCAGACACAATGACAGAAGAATGGACAGACAGGGACGCCGTGGGGGACAGCTACCCTGTCTTGTGTCCCATCCTCGCCTCGACACGGCTGGACGAGCGGGGAAGACTCAGACAGGTGACCGGAGGGAGGATGCGCTACCTTCTAACTTAGGGGACACAGAAAGAGGAACGAGACAAAGTAGAACACGAGAAGGTGGAAATGCCCAGCGGCCTGGGTCTGAGGACAGCCCGGGAATCACGGCCGTTCCTTAGGAGGAGGGTTTGTGTTGTTTTCTGGACAAGGTGGCGTGTGGGGCCCTAAGGCAGGCCGACAGGTGTGGTCTGAGAACGCACAGGCAGGCGCAGATCCAGGAGGTTGGGAGAAGGGAAAAGACAGGACAGAAAGCACGAGTAGCCGGAAGAGGCCGCACTGTTCAGGGATGAGGGGCGCCCCGGCCGACGGCCCTGAGGCTCGGGGTGGAGGCCTTCTCAGATGTGAGCAGTCCCAGGTGAGACGAATATTCTTCAAGCGAAGAAGGCAGGCCCCCTCCCAGTCGGTCCTTAAATTCAGTGACCCCTTCCATCTTGAAGGTGGGACCACCAGCTTCCTCCAGGTCACACTTGTATTCCCTCCAGTGCTGGGGACACCGAGGAGAGGGCTGTCCTGTGCAGCTGGCCAAGAGCCGTGGCGAGCGGGGCCAAAAGCCTCCCCCATTGTAAAGAAATATCTGACATGTCTCATTAATCCATTCGAATCTGCCCATTCCCTAACGTTTCCTGAGTGCCTGCCCAGTGTTGGGGACACAGAGACAGAAGCCCCTGCTTTCACATTCTGATGTGGGACCCAGACCCACGTGAAGCATTTACAGAGCCGTGCGGCACGTGCTGGCATACACGGCTGACAAGGACGGACGGGTCATAAACTTCAGGGCCACGTTCTGCCAAGTTGAAAGCCATTTCTAGGTCCCAAGCCCCCCACCCGCCCCAACCCAAGGTTTACGTTTTTATCACTCTGTGAGTGATGGTGGATAGTCTTCTCCATGACCTCCACGAGGCCTCTGTGAATATGCCATCTGGAGATAGAAAATTCTAAGATTTCTTAGACACCCGAATAACATTATTTACACAACTCCCTTTTAAATTGACCCAAATATGCTACTAAAACATATCACTAAATGGAATGTATCGCTTCCCCCACCCCTTTTAAACGTCTTAGCTAAACATCTTCATTGTCCCGACGACTTCTGGTTCTTATTCTCTTGATGCACGCATTGAACTCATCCTGTTTGGAAAGAAAAAATAGAACTCTTAAGTAATTGAAGAGAACAATTTTTGTAACCAACCACACTCTGCAAAATCCCAAAGCCTGATTAGGTGTGATGCACGCCTGGAGTTCTAGGAAATTAATTTTAAGGTTGGAAATGAGTTTTAGGAGGTAACCCGTGAACGTCGCTTTTGTCCTTTAAAATGCTTTTACTATTTGGTTTTTTAGATTTAAATAGGAAGCTCTGTAACCTGTTTTTAAGTTCAGACAGTAATAAAAAAAAGAAAGAAAACTGCCACGCAAATACACACATTTTCACTAATTAAAAAAAAAAATACCACTCAAGGGGCGCCTGGGTGGCTCAGCCGGTTAAGCGTCCGACTCTGGGTTTCTGCTCAGGTCATGATCTCACGGTTCGTGAATTCAAGCCCCATGTTGGGCTCTGTGCTGACAGCGCAGAGCCTGCTTGGGATTCTCTCTCTCGCTCTCTCTCTGCCCCTCCCTGCCTGCGCTCTTTCTCTCTCTGTCTCTCGAAATAAATGAATAAATAAACTTAAGAAAAAAAAAAGCCACTCAAAAAAGTGAATTCAAATTTATCAACAGGACAAAATCTTTTGGGTTTTCTAACTCATCTCTGGTATGAGGTGCACAATCTCTCCACACTCAGCGCGTGTGACCGGAGACCGCCCGCTGTGTGTGCTCCAAGAGGAGCCGAGAGGAGGCTCATCCCTCTGGACAGGGAGATAAGACAAAGGACGATCTGCCCTTTCAGAAGCAAGTCGGGTGTCTGCTCCTACTTTACGCTGTCCCCCAACCCAACAGCGCATCAGAAAAAGTATGTCATGTTGAGGATACTTCGGAAGCAGACCCCATCAGTGACTTTACCAAGTGATATTTATTTATTTATTAAGTGTATTTATTTTGAGAGAGAGAACACAAGCAGGGGAGGGGCAGAGAGAGAGAGAGAGAGAGAGAGAATCCCAAGCAGGCTTCGCACCGTCAGCGTGGAGCCCGATTTAGGGCTCGAACCTACGAACCGTGAGATCATGACCTGAGCTGAAACCAACAGTCGGGCCGCTTAACGGACTGAGCCACCCAGGGGTCCCCCTTACCAAGTGGTCTTTAATACCTGAAGGGAGGGAAGGGTCAGGAGGACAAAAGGCAAGAATTAAAAAAGCCAAAGGCTCAGTTTGAATGCACGCACCCTGAACCCCTCGAACGATGACTGAAGGTATCACCTTACCCCAGCGCAGATGGCCATCCGATGACCCGAGTATTGGCAAAGTGTCATGGTGGACTCCCACCCCGCAGAGGACAGTAGAATGGGCGCTTTAGCAGCTAATCAGGGGCTGGGGGCAATACATTCGGTTTCTGCTGACCACACACACCCGCTCTGTCGCTTTTCCCTCACGGCTCAAAGGATGGCGGGGGCACCCAGTGACGTCCTGGGCGGGGACGTACGCGGGCACCGTCACCATCGTTCCAACACGCGGTGAACAGACCCCTTCTGCCTTCGCCGCTCGCACTGAGTCAGACCAGCCGGTCAAGCGGTGAGGTCACGCACGCACATCAGAGGGGCGGCCACGGCACTGGCCTCTGGAGATCTCCAGCCGCGTGCTAAGAAGTTTACACCACTCGCAAACAGGGAGCTACTGAACCCCCTCCCTACTTTTAAACTAACAACATCAAGTGTTCCCCAGGAGAACACCGACTGGATTTAACCATGCACCGTGGATTTATTCAAATGGCAGACGGCTCATGGGCTCCTGAACGTGATGCCACGTTAGCAAGCACGTGGTACCACTCGTCTCATGGACACTCTTGACTTTCATCCGGTCTAGCTTTCCAAAGCAAATCCCAGGAGATCCAGACAGGACCACCCTTCTGCGTCAGTAAGTGCTTGCTCTTTCTGAAGGGGGTCTTCCTGTCAGTTTTCTATCTGAAGCGGAATCCCCTAAACACAGCTACGACGACACGCTCATGCTTCCCACACTAGTGTAACTGGGACCTGGCAGCAAGTTATATGTAATGTTTGTTTTTGAACATGGGGCAAGATCGGATTGAAACATCCTCTGCTCGTGAAAATAGGAAAACAGGGGCTCCTGGTGGCTCAGTCGGTTAAGCGTCCAACTCTTGATTTGGGTTCAAATCATGATCTCACGGTTCGTGAGCTCAAGTCCCGTGTGGGGCTCTGCACTGACAGCTCGAAGCCTGCTTGGGATTCTCGCTCCTTCTCCCTCAAAATAAAAGAAACAGAAAGAAGAAAAGAAAACCAGTGAGTTACGTACCCTTTTTATATTTCCAGCACATCTCTTGGCACTCCGAGTTACTCGCTGTTGGGATTCACTCTCCAAAGCATTTCCTCCAGGAGGGATCTTAACTTTTCTGGATCTCAAAGACATGACGTCTGAACGTGGTGTTACTTCTTCCTCCTGATTCTTCACGTGGACACCCACACCTTTCTCCCTTTGCTTCTCCTCTGCCACGTCAGGCAAGGGCACCTTCCTCGGTCTTGTAGACCGTAGACACATTCTACTTGCAAGGACTCGGCCCGCAGGTGGAGAACTCTTGGCTCTGCCTTCAGGGCTTTGTGGCTTCGTCTGTTGGGAGGTCTTCCGGGGCTTCTTGTCATTTCTGTCTGTCTTCACTTTCTCTGCTGCTGCTTTAACAGGCTCGGGCCTTTGCTCTTCGAGCTTGGTTTTATTTGGCCGTCTCGAGCGGAGAGACATCGCCTAAAAATAGCAAGACAGCCGCCACATGCCAATCATGAGTAATACAAACCTCACACTTCAACACGGAGAAGAAAACAATCAAAGGGAATTTCGAACAAAATCATGTGAAAACTTCACGTTTGTTTTAAGAGGCCAGCAACCACTTCATTCCAGGGTGAAATCCTCTCTACTGACAAACCATGAATTTCCAGGCTCAATTTCCATCACAACACCTGAGTGTCATATATGGCAAATTCGATTACAACAAGCATTAATTATGTGGGCTTTCTAGAAAAATGCCCCCTTTCCAGGCAGTAGATGAATTCCTAAGCCTTTCGCAATCATTTGCTCAAGCAGGACAGGAGAGTCAGCGTTTCTGGAACGGAACGTACAAAGTACTGTCCATGCAGGAGTAACTCTCTGCCTCACAACCTTGACAGGTGGGCTCTCTTCGGGACCCGGACGGCCACGCAGATTGTTCTAACCGCATAAAGACTGACCCTGATCCCCCGCCCACCCAGCGCTCCTGCTTACGGGCTCTGGGACAACACAGGACCGAGCTCCGACCTTTCCTCGACATCTTTCACACCTCTGCAGATGACCATAACTCACTCAGTTCCTGAGAAACTCTCGTCAAAACTGGTCATAAGAATTTTGACCTGTTACTTTCCCACACGAAGTCTATTCTCTCTATAAATCCCCAAAGGATTCTTTAACTTGTCTGCAGTTACTCCCTGTGCTGAATGCAGACCCCTTTGGGAGAAGATATTCGCATATAGATTCAACAGTTTATACCGGATAAGAGCCTCGAATGGAGAACACCATCCGAGATGGCATACAGCGACTAAGTGACATCTGCCATCACCTGTTGTGGAGAGGCCGTCGTCCTTCCTACTTCTCGCCCCTCTGTCCTGCTTTCCCTCTCGCCGCCGGTCAGGTCCTCTGGGACTTCCATCCTTTCCGCTACAATCCTTAGCTTTCTCTTCGCGGTCAGGGGCTCAGGGGGGTCACGTCCTTCTCTGGGGGCCCCCCTTCTTTTCTTCAGGGGAGGCTTCTCTTCGGCAGTGGCCTGGGCAGGTGTCACAGAGCGCAGCCTCTTTGTTCCTGGGCCACCTCCCTCGTTTCCTCGTTTTCTCTTTGGGGACGGGGAAACACTGCTTTCACTCCGAGATTTTGCAGGGTCTCGGTGGCCTGCCAGATCTTCCACGGGCTTTCCTCGAGGGGCCCTACGGACTCTTGCTAGGGGTTTCACAGGTTTCCCTCCGTCTGGTGTTTGCTTTGGAGCTCCCTGGATGCCACCAGCATCACCCCGTTGCTTGGTGTGATCTGGCCTCGGGAAGGACTCTCTGAAACTGGCCAGGTCTTCCAGGGGTTGGGTGGGGTTCGGCGCTCTTGGCCGATTTTTCCTGCCCGTTACGTTTTCTGTGGGGCCCAGTTTCTGCTTTGCAGTTCTATTAAACAATTTAACATCTTTATCATCACCTCCTGATTCTCTGAGCGAGTGAGTGCTTTCCTCTGGCGTTTGGGTGGGCTTCCTGAGAGCTGAGGGCTCTTCCTTAAGATCAGCTTTCTGGGGAGGGGTCTTGAGCCGCCTCCTTCTATTGGTAGGCTTGTTGCCTGGTCCTGCAAGCGGAGACTGGAAGGGTGCTTTGGTGGTTCGGTCACCAGTCACTGGGTCTGTGGTTTGGAAAAGCTCTTTGAGACCAGCCAGGTCTTCTGAGGACTGGATCTTTTTCTTGGGTGTTCTTGGCCGCCTCTTGCTTCTAGATACATTTCTTACAGGCTCCAGTTTTGGCTTTGGGGTGTCCTTGAACAATCCGATGTCTGCATCACCACCTACAGGTTCTCCGTGTTCATGTGGGCTTTCCCCTGGCAGCTGGGTGGGCTTCCTGAGAGCTGAGGGTTCTTCCTCCAGGTCCACTTTCTGGGGAGGGGTCTTGAGCCGCCTCCTTCTATTGGTTGGCTTGTTGCCTGGTCCTGCTAGTGGAGATTGGCAGGGTGCTTTGGTGGTTTGGTCACCAGTCATTGGCTTATCTGTGTGGTTTGGTGTTTGGAAAAGCTCTTTGAGGCCAACCAGGTCTTCTAAAGACTGGATGTTCCTCCTGGGTGTTCTTGGCTGCTTTTTGCTTCCAGTTACATTTTCTGCAGGGTCCAGTTCCTGCTTTGGGGTTTCCTTAAACAAGTTGATGTCTTCCTCCTTACCTCCAGGTTCTCTGTGTTCGTGTGGGCTTTCCCCTGGCATCCGGGTGGGCTTCCTGAGAGCTGAGGGCTCTTCCTCCAGGTCCACTTTCTGGGGAGGGGTCTCGAGCCACCTCTTTCCACTTGCTGGCGTGTTGACTGGTTCTGCTCGTGGAGATTTAGAGGGAACTTTGGTGGTTTGGTCACCAGTCCCTGGGTCTGGGGTTTGGAAAAGCTCTTTGAGACCAACCAGGTCTTCTAGGGACTGGACCTTTTTCTTGGGTGTTCTTGGCTGCCTTTTGCTTCCAGTTACATCTTCCTCAGGTTTCAGTGTCTGCTTTGGAGTTTTCTTGAACAATCTGATGTCTTCATCTTCCCCTACTGGTTCTCTGTGTGTGCGTGTGGCTTCCTCTGGCCTTTGGGTGGGCTTCGTGACAGCTGAGAGCTCGTTCTCTACGGTGACCTTCCCCAGAGCTACCTTGAGCCGTGTCTTCATGTGGGTTGGTATGTTGACGGTTTCTGCTAGCGGAGATTTGCAGGGCACTATTGTGGTTTTGACAACAGCTGTTGTTTTCTTGGTTTGCTCTGGGGTTTGGAAAAGCTCTTTGAGGCCAACCAGGTCTTCTAGGGACTGGACCTTTTTTTGGGGTGTTCTTGGCCGCCTCTTGCTTCCAGTTACGTTGTCTGCAGGTTTCAGTTTCTGCTCTGGAGTTTTGTTAAACAATTTAATGTCTTTATCCCCGCCTCCTGATTCCGTGTGTTCATGTGGGCTTTCCCCTGGCATCTGGGTGGACTTCCCGAGAGCTGGGGGCTCTTCCTCCAGGCCCACTTTCTGGGGAGGGGTCTCGAGCCGCCTCTTTTTACTTGCTGGCATGTTGCCTGGTCCTGCTAGTGGAGATTGGCAGGGTGCTTTGGTGGTTTGGTCACCAGCTATTGGCTTATCTGTGTGGCTTGGTGTTTGGAAAAGCTCTTTGAGGCCAACCAGGTCTTCTAAGGACTGGACCTTTTTCTTGGGTGTTCTTGACCGCCTCTTGCTTCCAACTACATTTTCTGCAGGATCCAGTTTCTGCTTTGGGGTTTCCTTGAACAATCCGATGTCTTCATC